TGCAACCGGAGCGAAAGTTTCTTCAAAGTAAATTCCCTCTTCTTGGTTGTATCCTTGGGCTACCAATCTTGCTTTGTTTCGAACAATTATACCATTCTCATCAAGTTTTTTTTTGAACACCCATATGGTACCTATGATGTGTTTGTCACTTCGTCTAGGAACAAGTTCCCAAACTTGATTTCTCTCTAACTGATTTAATTCTTCTTGCATAGCAATCATCCATTGGTCGTCTCCTAATGCGTTGTAGACTTTGGAAGGTTCGATTTGAGAAACGAACTCCATGTTCAAGCAAGCATCTTTGAGATTCAATCTTGTTGAAACGCCTTGACTGATGTCACCAATGATTTTATCAATAGGGTGATCTCTATGGGTTCTCCATTCCTTAGGTAGATCATTGACATTTGATTCTTCCGGAATTTGTTTTTCTTGTTGTTCCAATTGATTCTCATTGTTGGTCTTGGAGCCATCTTCTTGAGGAATATCTAAAATCTCATCATTATTATTTAAAACAATAGTATCCTCCTCGAAGGGGTTAGATTCATCAAATGATACATGCATAGATTCCTCAATAGTCAAAGTTCTTTTATTGTAAATACGATAAGCTTTACTAGATAAGGAGTATCCAAGAAAAATACCTTCATCTGATTTTTCATCAAACTTACCAAGGTTGTATTTGTTGTTGTTAAGGACAAAACATTTGCAGCCAAAGACATGAAAGAATGAAATATTTGGTTTCCTTCCTCGAAAGAGTTCATATGGAGTCTTCTTTAAGATAGGTCAAATATTAACTCGATTGCTTACAAAGCATGTCGTGCTTACAACATCCTCCCAAAAGTATATTGGAAGGTTTGAATCACTAAGCATTATCCTTGCAAGTTCAATAAGAGACCTATTCTTCCTTTCTACAACTCCATTCTGTTGAGGAGTCCTTGGTGCAGATAAATTATGTGATATTCCATGTTCTTCACAGAAATCTTCAAAAGAGGAATTCTGGAATTCTCCACCATGGTCGCTTCTTATGGAAGCAATAGATAGTGACTTCTCATTTTGAATTTGCTTTGCATATTTCTTGAACGCCTTGAATGTATCATTTTTCTGCACTAAAAAGAGTGTCCAAGTATATCTAGAAAAGTCATCAACAATAACTAGAGCGTATACATTACCTCCGAAGCTCCTCGTTATAGAAGGGCCAAACAAGTCCATATGAAGCAATTGTAGTGGCCTAGTAGTGGACACCACATTCTTGGATTTGAAAGTTGATTTTGTTTGCTTTCCCTTTTGACATGCATCGCAAAGTCTATCTTTGATGAACTTTATCTTAGGCAGTCCAACAACAAGGTCATGCTTAATCAATTTGTTTAAATGCTCCATATGAATATGAGGGATTCTTTTGTGCCATAGCCATGAGTCGTTATTGTTTGCCATGAGACATTTAACCTTCAAAGACAATTCGTTAAGGGAAATCATAAAAATATTGTTTACTCTTTTACCTTTAAGTTTAGCCTCATGTGTGACTTCATCTTCTATCAAACATTCATCTTTAGTGAACTTGATCTTGAACCCTTTGTCACATAGTTGGCTAATACTTAGAAGATTGTGCTTTAGTCCTTAGACATAAAGAACATATTCAATTGATGTGAAATATGGACCACCAACTTTGCCTATGCCAAGAATCTTTCCTTTGTTGTTATCTCCATATCTCACATTACCCTTGGCCTTAAGCGTTAGATGTGAAAATTTGTCGATATCTCCCGTCATATGCTTGGAACAACCACTATCGAGATACCATAGATTTGAAGTGGTCGTCAAGCTTACCTACAAAAAAAGATTAGGTTTTGTTAGGTACCCAAGTTTCTTTGGGTCCTTCATAATTAGTTCCTTTCTTAACCCACACATAATGCCCATTTGCCATGCCAAAGTTTCTAACATAACAAGCATTAGGTGTGTGTCCTCGAATACCACAATAAAAACAAGTAGGTTCAAATTTACTTCTATATCTAGAAGGATAAGATTTCTTCTTAGAGGGTATTTTCTTTTTAGGATAGTGATGAACTATTTTGGGAGTGATTTCTTTCTCTTTGGTTGGTTGATCGCTAGCCTTGACAAAGATGGTTTTGTTGGTACTTGGTTTTGAAAATTTTGAGTATCTAAGACCACTTTTGTCATTTGAGTATCTTTGTTGGCTAAGAACACCTTCCAATCCATTTTGTCCTTTTTCATACCTTTCAATAACCCTTTTCAATTAGACAACTTGGAAAGAGAGAGATTCACACTTTGTGCATACAAAATTCTGTTTTTCATCACTAACTTTTTGCTTTTCATCTTTGAGATCTTTTTCAATAGATCCACATTTTTCTTCCAACGATGAAATTTGTTTCTTTTGTGATGAGATAGTTTTGTACAGAATTTTGTATTCATTTAACAGTTCATTTATAGCACCTTGTGCATCACTATCAAAAAGAGAGAATATGTTACTGACCTCATCATCTTCGCTTTCGGAGTGGTGTGATGCCATTAACGCAAGATTGGCACTTTCGTCGCCATCGGAGTCGGATGACGAACTTAGTTCAACATCTTCCCATGCAACATATGCTTTCTTATATTTTGATTCCTTCTTGCCTTTGTAGCCACTTTTCTTTGAAAGTTTTGGACAGTCCGGTTTGATGTGACCTTGTTTACCACATTCATAGCAAGTAACTTCTTGTGTTGATGAGGATCCTTCCTTCTTCTTGAAGTGTTTCTTCTTCTTTGAGTGAGAGAAGGCTTTTTCATTTTTACCAAAGAATTTTCCAAGTCTTCCAACAAGAAGCATGAAGTTTTCATCTTCATCATGATTATCTTTCTTTTCGTCTTCCTTAGAGTCAATCTTCAAGGCAATGTTCTTAGACTTCTTTTCTTGATTTTCACGCTTTTCCAATCTACAAAGTTCTGTCTCGTATTCTTGAAGTTTTCCGAACAAGGTTGCGGATGTCATAGTAGCGAGACTCTTCTTTTCTGAGATTGCCGTTACCTTTGGTTGGCATTCTCTAGTCAATGATCTGAGCACTGTTAGGTTCAACTCATCATTGGTCAATGTTTTGCCAAGTGCCCTTAGATGATTTGTTAGATGCACAAATCTCTTTTGTAAATCAAGAATGGATTCTCCGAGTTGCATACGGAACAATTCATATTCTTTGCTTAACGTAATAAGTCTCGATCTCTTTACTTCAGTTGTTCCTTCATGTGTTTCAACCAGTGTATCCCAAATTTCTTTTGCCGTTGTACATGCTGAGACACGGAAGAATTCATCCATACTAAGTGCGCTTTGAAGGAGGTTTATTGCCTTTTTGTCATACAAGACCTTTTTCTTATCATCATCATCCCATGTAGTTTTAGGCTTTGATGAACCAACACCGTTTACCACAGTTACCGGAACAAAAGGGCCATTTTGGTCAGCATCCCATATTTCTTCTCCTTGTGCTTCTAGATGAGCCTTCATACGGATCTTCCAGAAATCAAAATATTCACCACAGAATAGAGGAGGCTTGTTGCTACTGCCACCGTCTCTGAACATAGAATTGTTGTTTGCGGAAGCCATTCTGGATCTAGTAGGAACAGGTTACCTATAACCTGCTCTGATGCCAATTGTAAGTTCAGATGCTCCTAAGAGGGGGTGACTTAGGTTCTTTAAAACTTTTTCTGAATTGTATGAATATTTTTGCACGAGTTTCTTTTCTTTCTTTTTTTGATAAGTGATGAAAGCAGTAAATGCGGAAAGTAAAGAACACAGAGATGTATCCTGGTTCCCCTCACAGTCCGAGAGTACTCCAGTCCCCTTTCAACATGAAATAGATTTCCTTATTGTTGGTAATTTATACAAAGACTACCTAACAAGCCAAGAACAATCCTCTTGGACTGTAGCGATAAAAAATGTAGCGGGGTAAATCGGAGATCGAATTATTGATTAATTCATCTCACAAAAGCAAGAGTCGCCACCGCGCTTTATTGTTTCCAAAGGAAAAGGGAAAAGAGCGAAATAAAACCCTAATTATGCAATGTAAATAATAATAAAAATACAAAGCGTTTTTGAAAAGAGATCTCATGGTTCGGGGGTTGGTTATACAATGGGAAGGTACTAGCACCCAATGCATCTATAGTACTCTATAGGAACCTTTTGAAATATCTGTTTTATTTAAAATTGATCGCTTGATTGAAAATAAATCGTTTTGGCCGAAAAGGGATACGGACGGGTTTTTGAAGATACGACGACCTAATGTCGAAGTTTTTGCTTAAAAGGTATAGGTCTTGAAAAGGGTGAATGTTTGAGGAAAAATTATCCTAAGTTTTAATGAATGAGGGTATTCGCACAATTAGACTTGAAGACATGAAGTCAACGAATTTACGGTTTTTCCCTTGGATTGGCGCAAACAGAATAAACAAGTAAGTGCGAGATATTTAAACAGAAAATTATGAGATAAATGATATACAACAAATTGAATAAGAGACTGAGTGTGAACATGCATTTTTAGATTTTTGTTTAATATATGAAGAGAAAAATGTTTTAATTTGTTGCGCATTTTAACATAGATAAAAGGGTAATGAGAATTAATAGAAATGTTTTTAAGGTTTTTATAGTTATTAAGTTTCTATTTTTTATGTCTTTTTTGTATTAGTATTTAACCAAAATGAGGGGAGTAAATTAAAGAAAAATAGCATGTTTTTTAGTTTTCTCATTTTTTACTTTCATATGTTTTTAGAGATATTAAATATTTCCAAACTAAATAAAACTTACAAGTCATGAATTTAAATCTAATTAGAAATAAGGAAGACTAAAATTATTAAATAAACCTAAACTTAAACTAAATAAGATTGGGTAAAATATTAAAATTGTCTAATTAAAACTATATGTTTATTTCTAAGAAACTAACTAATCTAAATTAAATAAGTTAGCTAAGGAAATGAATAGAATTAAACTAAAGGGCAAATAAAAAGATGGGGTGTGAATAGCAATTAGAATGGGCTTAAGTTAAAAAAAACTGAGCTTGGTTGAGGGAATTGGACCGGGTCGGCTTCGTGTTCATCCGTTTACGAAGAAACCTCATGTACTTCATTTTCTGCCTGACGAGGCCACCGGAGATGCATATCTCTTCGCATCTAACAACCACAACTTTCTGTCCGTTTAGAAGCTCCTTCACTACGATCGATGCCAAGCGACCGAGCATGTGGTGGCGAGCATCCACCATGACTCGCTTTGTGCATGCGCCGGAACCTGAAACCAATTTTTCTTCTCTCCGGCTTGTTTCTATGCTTCACAAGGTTTTGCAGATGCGGCAGAGGACGAAATGGGTTTGGTGTTAGGATGGCGAAGATTGATGATTGGGTGTTGTCGTGGAATTGAGACGAGGTTGTTGGGGTGAGAAGAGGAAGCTGCATGTGACGATGGAGGAGAACAGAAGGTTAGCGGAGAAGGTGGAAATTGACGGAGATAAAGAAGGGAAGTGGGACGATAATTGAAGAGTGGGATGAAGAAAGGAATTGCGAAGTGAAGATTGAAGGGGTGTCGGCAAATGGTTAGAGGAGTGTAGATGGAGAAGAGAGCTACTGCACGAAGAGGAAGAGGAAATCGATGGATACTGTTAGCGCGGTTAGTTGTTGTTATTTGTTTTTTTTGTTTTTTTTTTAGTAAAAGTAGCGTGAGAATAAGGTTCTACAGTAGAGTGATGATGTTGGAATGGTTATTGTTTCTATGCGATTTGAATCCTCTATGCTTGTGTCTTTTGTTTTTCTCATTATTAAACGTGTGAAAACTGAGTAGTTGTGGTTGATTATGTCAAAACAGGACTGAGAGCATTGAGATAGAAGGAATAAGAGATGATGTTGGAAGCGAATGGAAGAGGGAGTTAAAGGGATGGTGGCGTTGGTGAAGAAATTGAGAAGCTGCTAGTGTTGGCGTTGCGGATTTGAGAGTAGCAGAAGAATTGAATGAAGATGATAGTGATGAATCGTAAAGTCGAATTGGTAATTAAAAAAAGGTTTGTGAATTTTCTATATTATCTCAAATTGACTTTAAATTAACAGTGTGTTTATGATTGTGTATCGGTCTTGCAACATTTATTGAATTTTGAAATTTATCGATCGAGTTATTGCCGATGTTAAATAGGGATTGATGTGTTGCTGCGGGCTCATTGATGATTCGCAATGATATTAAATGGCCATTTTACATGATTTCAAGAAATTAAGAGAGGATTATTATCCAGTGAGACAGAGGCAACACAACGGTATAAAGATTTATGCGAAAAACTGAAGAAACTCACATGGTCGGAGCTAGTCCGACGGTACAATTCCGGCGAAGTCAGGTAAGCTCCGAAGATTTCTCGCTCTTTGCTTTCTGCTACTAATTCTTCTCTTCTTCTTAGTCTAAAAAACTGGTTGGAATATTGAATAGTTGCAAGTGAGTTGTAGATTGCTGCAATTGATTTTGATTCTATGTGAACGGTTGTTGTTGGATTCAAAGTCAATATTTCCGGTTGATGTCGGTCTTTTTGAATGATTTTGGATAATACTGTTTTATCTATGGTTTTGATACAGTATGCAGGTTATGAAAACAGGTTATGTGGTTTTGCAATGGACTATGGTTTTGAATAGTTTTGATGCAGGTTCTGTGGTTTTGCAATGGACTATGGTTTTGAATAGTTTTGATGCAGGTTCTATGGTTTTGCAATGGACTATGGTTTTGAATAGTTTTGATGCAGGTTCTGTGGTTTTGCAATGGACTATGGTTTTTTTGCTTAGTAGTCTTGTGTAGAACCCCCTTGCAGGTTATGACCTCTTCTCTCTTTTTGAAGAGGATTCCCCTCATATGACCGTTGCTTCTTTTGTTGATGGCTCAGGTTTGAATATATTTAATATATTTTCCTGATGCTCTGCACATATGCTGCTACATATGGTTGACTTTATTCCCATTTCATGCTTAAACCAAAACCTGCAAAACTAAACCTTTCTCTCTTCTCTCTCAAGTACATATTGATACATAAAAATGATATCCTGTACTGCTGTTCTGAAAAAGCAATAGGCTGGAATATGATGAAAAAAGGAAATACTTGCTTGCACATTGTTTGAAATTGCATATCTCTTTTGTCTTGCATGGGAGCCTATGTTACTCTCCTATATGGCTGCATGTTAACGTTAGCTTTACTTGTGGGAAATGGCATATGCTGTTACTTTTGTATGCTGTATGTTTTTTTGAAATATGCATTTAGATTTTTTTTGAAAAATGCAATTGATTTCTAATGTGCTATTTTGACAAGAAAAATGATTTGTGCATTCATAAAAATTCCTCCCTTTTTGTGAACCGGGAGAAATCCCGTGATTTGCAAAAAGGGCAAACTGATTCCGGCCGTTTGCTTTTAATGATGAACATTAAATTTATTTTCTGCATTTTAATTATTTATTCAATTCTGACTTTTCTTTTAATTGTTTTCGCAGGTAAAATTAAATGAGCAGACAAGAGCATTGGATAGAAGATTTAGAATTAGAATTTAGAAAAATAGCTTTTCATTTTACTTTAAGCATTTGTGTAATTGTCTTTATAAATATTTTGTAATAACACAACATTTAAATGACAATTGTAATAAATAGAATAAAGTGAATAAAATTCTATTATTTCTCAATTAATTCTTTTTCTTTCCAATTATTTATTTATTGTTTATAATTCTTTAAATTATATAATGACTGAAAATCAAATCCAATCATTTAAATTCAGAATGATAAACAAATAAATAAATATCATTGATCAATTAATAACTTCAATTATTTACTTTATTATTATTCTTAATTCTTCTAAATTATAACAACTGAAAAATAGGATTTCAGCTATTTAAACTTAGAACAATAAATAATTAAATAAACATTGCTTGATCAATTAATATACTCCTTTTCAAATGTTTATTTCATTATTCATAAACCTTCAAATTATATAATAACGGGAAACAGGTTCCCATTATTTAAATTTAGGATAATGAATAATTAATAAACATTATTTGACCAATTAATAAACCTCCTTTCAAATATTTATTTTATTATTTATAAATCTTTAAATTACGTAATAATCGAAAATAAATTCCAATTATTTGAATTTAAGATAATAAATAATTAATGAACATTGTTTAAGTCTTGATCAGTTAATAAATTTAGCGTTCAACAAATAAACAGCTCCCGACTCGAAAAAGTTGTGAATTTTTACACTGCTTTGAAAATTTGATAAAATATGTCAAAACCCTTGCAATGCGAATAATGCAGATGGGAGACGGTATCTTAGGTCAAAATTTGGGGTACAACAGCTGCCCCTATTTAAGTTCCTTCTATCCGGAGATATGAAGATTAAAATCTTCGTTTCGACGAGATTGAAGGTACTTAAATACATAATTACGCAAATTTTGTCCTAAGATGTCGTCATCATGCAGTGATATGAATGTAGTGCTTGAATTCACAGAGAAAGATATTGTGTGAAACAAGACAATGTTGGGGGAATCGAACACCAACAAAACACAGCGGCATGGATTATACATTACTGGGGAAACAAGCTATCGACTTCAAACGACAAACTCCCAACAGCGAATAAAATCGAGGGAAAACAACCTCTAACCCTAACAAAGAGAGCATCTTGCATAGGCCATAACAGGTCATTGATCCAAAACAGTGAGTTTGCAACTCAAGGTCGATGGTAGACAGAGAGTATCAAATTTGCTGATGACGGGTTACCAACTTCTGAAGGTAAAAATTCATAACAAACTTTCTCCGCGAGATTTCCGGAGAGATACCAATTAATGCTGAAGTAATACGAAGGTTGTTCAAATAAAGAAAACTGCCATCTGTTGTTGTCCCAGAGAAAATACCGATAACATACAAGCCGCTCAAATAAAGAAGCTGCCGCTTGTTGTCGTCCAAAGAAAATACCGATAACATACAAGCTGCTCAAATAAAGAAGCTGCCGCTTGTTGTCGTCCAAAGAAAATACCGATAACATACAAGCTGCTCAAATAAAGAAGCTGCCGCTTGTTGTTGTCCAAAGAAAATACCGATAACATACAAGCCGCTCAAATAAAGAAGCTGCCGCTTGTTGTATTCCAGAAAAGTAATGACGTACAAGTTGCTCAAATAAAGAGACCGCCGCTTGCCGTTTTCCGAAGAATAATAACGCACTAGTAGCTCGTGAAGAGCTGCTGCTTGTCGCTTTCAAAAAGAATAAAATGACGCACTAGTAGCTCGTGAAGAACTGCTGCTCGGCGCTTTCAAAGAGAATAAAATGACGCACTAGTAGCTCGTGAAGAACTGCTGCTCGGCGCTTTCGAAAAGTAAATAACGCACTAGTAGCTCATGAAGAACTGCTGCTCGGCGCTTTCAAAAGATAAATGACGCACTAGTAGCTCATGAAGAACTGCTGCTCGACGCTTTCAAAAAGTAATGACGCACTAGTAGCTCGTGAAGAGATGCTGCTCGGCGCTTTCAGAAAAGTAACGTACAAGTTGCTCGTGAAGAGCTGCCGCTTGTCGTTTTCCAACGGTGTCTATAACGTACAAGTTGCTCATGAAGAGCTGCCGCTTGTCGTTTTCCAAAGAATAACTCAGAAGGAAATTGCGACGACACTGGTAGAGAAATAAAATCTTCATCAAAGAGAACCCTGAATCAATCCTTCCCGAGGAGATCATATATTTTAACGTGCAAAATAAATGCACCAACCGTCTAGGTCGCAATTTCACTGGGGAAAATCAATGAGATAGCCTATGCAAGAGGCAACAACTTCATCTAGGAATAAACCAGAGAGAAAAAAGTCAAACAAGACTCCACCCAATGAGAAAGTAACTCGATTGGGGAATTTATCCTATCCAGAAATGGACAAGGTAAGCTAAATCAAAAATCATCCACGAGGATTAGCTCAGTTGGGGAATTAGAAAGGAGGCGCATTTTATGCTTAAGTTGGCACTCTATTTGGAAAGATCAAATGTGTTATTCGAAAAGACACAACCAAGGTGTACGAACTCAATGACATCAACAAATACAACTGTGCAGGCATGATGCAAATGTGAATGGATGTCATGTGTATGCTGACAAAAACGACAGGGGAGATAGACAGAAGATGATAAGACATCACAGTACAACCCGGCGCTCGGCTAATCTCAAAAGGAGGGGAACATCACTGGAGATAGAAGATAAAAGCCATCAAAGGAGCAAAGTCATCCTACAAAGCTCAAATCTCTTGGAGAGGAAGATATTTTAGGTAGAAAACCCAAAGTCCAGTCTTCTACTGCTGACAACCCATTGAAAGGATAACAACACGAACAAAAGCTTCAGCTGGAAAGAGTCATGCTTAGCTGGAGATACTGGGAACACCGCCCTCTGATAAAGTGTGTGATACATAACACACATTCTGACAAGTCTAGATTGCCCCTGGGACCAAATTGGATGCCCCAAGTTACTGCTGACGAGCTGCATGATGCACGACGCTTCTTGCGAATAACTTCACTTCTAAAAAATGCCCAAGCTATCTGGTTGATGAGGAGGTAACGTCTCAAGAGGGTTTACAAAAGACCTGGCATTCACCATGCTCTGGTGTCTTCAAACTTTTAGAGGAAATCATCCAATCTTGACGTGATTGCCCCGGATTGACTGTAGTCGGCACAACAAAGTCTTCGAATTTTTGCCCCAAACGAGCAAACAAATTGGGAAAAGCAACAACTAGGAGAAGCAACCTGTCCATGCTTAAGGTCTTCAACTGACATGCCCCTGGATATGATTTTCTTGAATTGATTCTCCAATTACTCAACATAGTTTCAAGCCTTAAAAGGGTAAACTCATCACTGGTGTTTATGTGAGCTTCCTTGATATCAAACAAATGTTTTGCAGTTAGAAAAAGTTTACAATGAGAATGAGAATTCTAATGCAACAGTTATATAAGTCTTGAAGATTTTTGAAAGATATCGCACAAATTTTGCGAGTTAAAGCGCCATTTATTTTTGTATAGGAAAAACATATGATACCAACATAACTATTTAGAACATTCATGGGAGTCAGGAACACTATCTCATTGAAGTATGCTTTCAGAATGACCTTGCTTCAATTAGGACTTTTGAAGGTTGTAATGTGGTCCGGTTTATGGTTTTTTAGAAAAAGATTTAAAGGCTCAAAATATTTGGTGCCCCCCCCCATTCTTCATGATGTTCTCCAACCTTATGCTCGGTTAATTCAACATGAGTGTTCATCTCTCAAGAGGATTTTGTGACGGTAACATCTTTCTTACGAATTTTGAACACTCAATCAGATCAACTGAAAACTACCCTGCCCCAGGTTAAAATTCAAGGTTTTTCGTATAGAAAAGAAACTTCTGCTTCAAAGGCTCAAAAGGGGTTAGCAAGGGATTATCTTCCTTATATCTCCGGTGTTTAGGGATTTGAAACAATGCCTGTACATCATCAACAAGATCTTATTCAAAAGCATGCAACCAAAGATTTTGTGTTCTATAGATCATCATCCCCCCTTCAATCTCTGCCTAGGCAAGAGAATGGGCAACAAGTTGGTATCATAATGCAAAAAGAAAATTTAAAATTTGAGAACAAATATGAGTGAAACGAATGAATTTCTTCAAGACAAACATACTCATTGTATTAAAATAATCATTCAGACGCAAACAAGTTCTCACATGCAAACAATGTTTCGATAAATAAGAAAAGCTGCAAAAGCAGAAACAACTTAATAATCTGGGAAGGCTTTCCACTTGAACTACCGAAAACATCTTCAAAAACTCAAAGTCACCCTCAATCGTGTTTACTCTTCGGCGCCTGTTTGATTTGAACTTCAAAACCAACGTCCTTGAATGACAAGATACCACTTCGGACCAACTTCTGAACCTCAATCTTCAAAGCAAAGCAACCCTCCAAGTCATGCCCAGGAGCACCTTGATGAAAAGTACAAGCCAAATCAGCTTTGTAGTATCAGTGTATCTTCTTAGGGACCTTCGGTGGAGGTCGGGTCTGAACCAAATTCCTCTGCATCAGGATAGGGAACAACTCTGTATAGGTGATTGGAATTGAATCAAACTGGGTTTTCCTCTGATTAGGAACTTGCTGATTCTGTTGATGAACGTGATGATTCTGATGATGATTATTCCTTCCTCTGGTTCTCTTCTTGTAAAAGTCATTATCAAACTTCTTCACACCATTAACTGAGCTACCCACTTCATATAAACATCCCTTTCCGACATCTTCTTCTAGACGCACTCCCACATTCACCTTGTCAGGAAAGTCATCAGGTGCATTAACTGTCACCTTTTCATGAGAAAAAGATTTTAGAGTCTCCGTGAAGACTTTTATCCTTGCTTCCTCCCTCCTAGAAGGATTGACTTGGGCGGAGATCAGAATTTCAACCAAACCAGTTAAGTGATCCAAACCAGCTTTCAAAATAGTCACCTCTCTGCGGAGTTCCGAAACCTCTTGCTTGATATTCTCCATTATCCTCTTAGCGCGAGTGTTGTACTAGTGAGACCAAAGGAAAAATAAGACTCGGAAAAAGACCTTTGAAAGTGAGACAAAGAAAAAAACGTAAAATGATGTATGATGTGCAAAAGAGAATTTTTATTTGATTTTCAAGGAACTCAAGATATTAAGTTGTAAACATCAAAGTATGAAGATAGAAGATGAATTTTAAATTGGCTCCAAACATTGATCAAGTTATCATCAAGATCAATCATCCATTTTGGTGGATTAGGGTTTTCTCCCTATCAACACCCAAGATCCATTGAGCTTGACGAAACTTGTGATGTTTACAAAGAGAGACCTCCAAATTCCTTCAAAGTCAAGTGAAAAGGGTTTTATGGATGCATGAATGCATGGCTATGCAACAACCACAAGCAAGGTCACAAATAAAGTCGAAAGGTTCCACGTCACGAGCATGGAGTCAAGGGTAAAAACATCCCCAAGGTATGTACTAAGGGTTTAATCACACCTGTAGAACAAGGTTCTAAGAGTTCCCGGAGTCTACATTCCTCCTTCGGATATTGCCAACGTCTTGATTACTCGATAATTAGCAATATTCTCAAGAGAAACTCGTCCGAGCATAGCATCGCGTAACAACTACTTCCGAATTACTCCGTTATAGTCTCCGCGCTACACCTAAAAAGGCCAAGATGGGTTAGGGTTCTACGGTCCTCAACTTCTCGGGCTCCTAGGTCGAAAATAATAACGTCTTCCCGATTACTCGGTAAACAAATATTAAGTTCAAGAGGGCCTTCCATTGAGTGGGGGATCTCATGCCTCCTTCTTCGGGATTACTCCCTCAAAGTTAACATGACTATACCGCCCGTCCTATTCCTTAAGTGTTACTTAATCCGGGTGTAGGATTCGTCCTTTGCAAAAAACCCAAATAACCCCAATTTAAACACATAATCAAGCAAATCAAATAACAATAAAACAGATAAAACAAATTAGGCTTAACCCACTTAGGGATGGACCAGCAAGAGGTCAATCTGTCCCCAACAGAGTCGCCAATTCTGTAGCGATAAAAAATGTAGCGGGGTAAATCGGAGATCGAATTATTGATTAATTCATCTCACAAAAGCAAGAGTCGCCACCGCGCTTTATTGTTTCCAAAGGAAAAGGGAAAAGAGCGAAATAAAACCCTAATTATGCAATGTAAATAATAATAAAAATACAAAGCGTTTTTGAAAAGAGATCTCATGGTTCGGGGGTTGGTTATACAATGGGAAGGTACTAGCACCCAATGCATCTATAGTACTCTATAGGAACCTTTTGAAATATCTGTTTTATTTAAAATTGATCGCTTGATTGAAAATAAATCGTTTTGGCCGAAAAGGGATACAGACGGGTTTTTGAAGATACGACGACCTAATGTCGAAGTTTTTGCTTAAAAGGTATAGGTCTTGAAAAGGGTGAATGTTTGAGGAAAAATTATCCTAAGTTTTAATGAATGAGGGTATTCGCACAATTAGACTTGAAGACATGAAGTCAACGAATTTACGGTTTTTCCCTTGGATTGGCGCAAACAGAATAAACAAGTAAGTGCGAGATATTTAAACAGAAAATTATGAGATAAATGATATACAACAAATTGAATAAGAGACTGAGTGTGAACATGCATTTTTAGATTTTTGTTTAATATATGAAGAGAAAAATGTTTTAATTTGTTGCGCATTTTAACATAGATAAAAGGGTAATGAGAATTAATAGAAATGTTTTTAAGGTTTTTATAGTTATTTAGTTTCTATTTTTTATGTCTTTTTTGTATTAGTATTTAACCAAAATGAGGGGAGTAAATTAAAGAAAAATAGCATGTTTTTTAGTTTTCTCATTTTTTACTTTCATATGTTTTTAGAGATATTAAATATTTCCAAACTAAATAAAACTTACAAGTCATGAATTTAAATCTAATTAGAAATAAGGAAGACTAAAATTATTAAATAAACCTAAACTTAAACTAAATAAGATTGGGTAAAATATTAAAATTGTCTAATTAAAACTATATGTTTATTTCTAAGAAACTAACTAATCTAAATTAAATAAGTTAGCTAAGGAAATGAATAGAATTAAACTAAAGGGCAAATAAAAATATGGGGTGTGAATAGCAATTAGAATGGGCTTAAGTTAAAAAAAACTGAGCTTGGTTGAGGGAATTGGACCGAGTCGGCTTCATGTTCATCCGTTTACGAAGAAACCTCATGTACTTCATTTTCTGCCTGACGAGGCCACCGGAGATGCATATCTCTTCGCATCTAACAACCACAACTTTCTGTCCGTTTAGAAGCTCCTTCGCTACGATCGATGCCAAGCGACCGAGCATGTGGTGGCGAGCATCCACCATGACTCGCTTTGCGCATGCGCCGGAACCTGAAACCAATTTTTCTTCTCTCCGGCTTGTTTCTATGCTTCACAAGGTTTTGCAGATGCGGCAGAGGACGAAATGGGTTTGGTGTTAGGATGGCGAAGATTGATGATTGGGTGTTGTCGTGGAATTGAGACGAGGTTGTTGGGGTGAGAAGAGGAAGCTGCATGTGACGATGGAGGAGAACAGAAGGTTAGCGGAGAAGGTGGAAATTGATGGAGATAAAGAAGGGAAGCGGGACGGTAATTGAAGAGTGGGATGAAGAAAGGAATTGCGAAGTGAAGATTGAAGGGGTGTCGGCAAATGGTTAGAGGAGTGTAGATGGAGAAGAGAGCTACTGCACGAAGAGGAAGAGGAAATCGATGGATACTGTTAGCGCGGTTAGTTGTTGTTATTTGTTTTTTTTGTTTTTTTTATAGTAAAAGTAGCGTGAGAATAAGGTTCTACAGTAGAGTGATGATGTTGGAATGGTTATTGTTTCTATGCGATTTGAATCCTCTATGCTTGTGTCTTTTGTTTTTCTCGTTATTAAACGTGTGAAAACTGAGTAGTTGTGGTTGATTATGTCAAAACAGGATTGAGAGCATTGAGATAGAAGGAATAAGAGATGATGTTGGAAGCGAATGGAAGAGGGAGTTAAAGGGATGGTGGCGTTGGTGAAGAAATTGAGAAGCTGCTAGTGTTGGCGTTGCGGATTTGAGAGTGGCAGAAGAATTGAATGAAGATGATAGTGATGAATCGTAAAGTCGAATTGGTAATTAAAAAAAGTTTTGTGAATTTTCTATATTATCTCAAATTGACTTTAAATTAACAGTGTGTTTATGATTGTGTATCGGTCTTGCAACATTTATTGAATTTTGAAATTTATCGATCGAGTTATTGCCGGTGTTAAATAGGGATTGATGTGTTGCTGCAGGCTCATTGATGATTCGCAATGATATTAAATGGCCATTTTACATGATTTCAAGAAATTAAGAGAGGATTATTATCCAGTGAGACAGAGGCAACACAACGGTATAAAGATTTATGCGAAAAACTGAAGAAACTCACATGGTCGGAGCTAGTCCGACGGTACAATTCCGGCGAAGTCAGGTAAGCTCCGAAGATTTCTCGCTCTTTGCTTTCTGCTACTAATTCTTCTCTTCTTCTTAGTCTAAAAAACTGGTTGGAATATTGAATAGTTGCAAGTGAGTTGTAGATTGCTGCAATTGATTTTGATTCTATGTGAACGGTTGTTGTTGGATTCAAAGTCAATATTTCCGGTTGATGTCGGTCTTTTTGAATGATTTTGGATAATACTGTTTTATCTATGGTTTTGATACAGTATGCAGGTTATGAAAACAGGTTATGTGGTTTTGCAATGGACTATGGTTTTGAATAGTTTTGATGCAGGTTCTGTGGTTTTGCAATGGACTATGGTTTTGAATAGTTTTGATGCAGGTTCTGTGGTTTTGCAATGGACTATGGTTTTGAATAGTTTTGATGCAGGTTCTGTGGTTTTGCAATGGACTATGGTTTTGAATATTTTTGATGCAGGTTCTGTGGTTTTGCAATGGACTATGGTTTTTTTGCTTAGTAGTCTTGTGTAGAACCCCCTTGCAGGTTATGACCTCTTCTCTCTTTTTGAAGAGGATTCCCCTCATATGACCGTTGCTTCTTTTGTTGATGGCTCATGTTTGAATATATTTAATATATTTTCCTGATGCTCTGCACATATGCTGCTACATATGGTTGACTTTATTCCCATTTCATGCTTAAACCAAAACCTGCAAAACTAAACCTTTCTCTCTTCTCTCTCAAGTACATATTGATACATAAAAATGATATCCTGTACTGCTGTTCTGAAAAAGCAATAGGCTGGAATATGATGAAAAAAGGAAATACTTGCTTGCACATTGTTTGAAATTGCATATCTCTTTTGTCTTGCATGGGAGCCTATGTTACTCTCCTATATGGCTGCATGTTAACGTTAGCTTTACTTGTGGGAAATGGCATATGCTGTTACTTTTGTATGCTGTATGTTTTTTTGAAATATGCATTTAGATTTTTTTTTGAAAAATGCAATTGATTTCTAATGTGCTATTTTGACAAGAAAAATGATTTGTGCATTCATAAAAATTCCTCCCTTTTTGTGAACCGGGAGAAATCCCGTGATTTGCAAAAAGGGCAAACTGATTCCGGCCGTTTGCTTTTAATGATGAACATTAAATTTATTTTCTGCATTTTAATTATTTATTCAATTCTGACTTTTCTTTTAATTGTTTTCGCAGGTAAAATTAAATGAGCAGACAAGAGCATTGGATAGAAGATTTAGAATTAAAATTTAGAAAAATAGCTTTTCATTTTACTTTAAGCATTTGTGTAATTGTCTTTATAAATATTTTGTAATAACACAACATTTAAATGACAATTGTAATAAATAGAATAAAGTGAATAAAATTCTATTATTTCTCAATTAATTCTTTTTCTTTCCAATTATTTATTTATTGTTTATAATTCTTTAAATTATATAATGACTGAAAATCAAATCCAATCATTTAAATTCAGAATGATAAACAAATAAATAAATATCATTGATCAATTAATAACTTCAATTATTTACTTTATTATTATTCTTAATTCTTCTAAATTATAACAACTGAAAAATAGGATTTCAGCTATTTAAACTTAGAACAATAAATAATTAAATAAACATTGCTTGATCAATTAATATACTCCTTTTCAAATGTTTATTTCATTATTCATAAACCTTCAAATTATATAATAACGGGAAACAGGTTCCCATTATTTAAATTTAGGATAATGAATAATTAATAAACATTATTTGACCAATTAATAAACCTCCTTTCAAATATTTATTTTATTATTTATAAATCTTTAAATTACGTAATAATCGAAAATAAATTCCAATTATTTGAATTTAAGATAATAAATAATTAATGAACATTGTTTAAGTCTTGATCAGTTAATAAATTTAGCGTTCAACAAATAAACAGCTCCCGACTCGAAAAAGTTGTGAATTTTTACACTGCTTTGAAAATTTGATAAAATATGTCAAAACCCTTGCAATGCGAATAATGCAGATGGGAGACGGTATCTTAGGTCAAAATTTGGGGTACAACATGGACCAAGAACAATCCTCTTGGATTTTCACTAAGACCACAGAGAGAACAATCCTCCCTAAGTGTCTTTCTTGTTTCCAACAATCCTGAAAACAAGTATACAATAGTTTGTTTGATTTGTATAAGAGTTTGAAAGAGCAATGTCAATCACTTGATTGATCTTTTCTTATTCAATATGAAATTTAAGATGGAATACTCTTCTAAGTGCTCAAGAACAATTTTCAGAATGCATATGAAAATGATGAACAAAAATCTTGAGTAAAAAGAGTATGATCAAAAGAATAGAAAGTTGTTAGTGATTGTTGTTTTATTGTTTTTGATTATTGATTTTTCTTTCAAAATTCTAAGTAAAAATAATTTATAGTGTAGTAATGCCTCTTCAATGAAACATAGCAATGTTTAGGCCATTTTTACTAAAACAATGTATATGAAAAGATACAAAGATTGCCATGAAAAGGTGTTACAAAGAGTTGCTGGAAAAATAATTTTTTTCAAAATTTAAGGCACAACAACCGATTGCACTAAAGCAACAACCGATTGCACCAACAACGTTTTAAAAAAAATTGAAAATATAACTATGACAACCGATTGTCATTGAGGAGCAATCGGTTGCTCATAAGCCAACGTTCAAAAAATTTGAAAATAAAACACATGACAATCGATTGCTGCTAGATGACAACCGATTGTATGTCAAACAGAATCAAATGTTTTTTGAATGCAACCGATTGTCGTTTGATGACAATCGGTTACTTGTGTACAAAAATTGAAAAATCATTATTTTTCAAAGATTTTAAGCAATTTAAAATATCCTTCTTTAATCATACATAGTATATACTCAAAATATTATTTTAATAAAGTAAATGCATGATTAAAAATAGTTTTGAGCACTAAGAGCATAAGATCAAAATTTTCATATACCTTAAGCCATAAGTCTTGAAATGTTGATCTTGATCAAATGGATCTTTGCTTGAGATAAATCTTCTATCTTGATCCATTCATTTTTGCATGCTAGCTTGTCTTCATCAAAACACTTGGAAAGCTTGATTTCGCAGGCCCATATTCACTCCATCTGCGCTAGAGGCGGAAAACCCTTCTATTTCGGAGGGATTGTCACTTCTCTTGCTTTAGCCTTGAATCTTGGTGCCGCTCTCACTGATATGCCTTCTATGGCGCTGACATTGCTTACTCTGGACCACTGCAAAGCTGCCCACCTTATATATGAGCGGGAAAATGGAAAATTCCATCCTGTGATCTGAAACATCGTTTATAATAACATTACTTTGCCTTGTAGGGACCGAATTGACCCTCAAAACAGAGCCAATTGGCTATTCGGTCCTGCAGCTCCCGAGGGCCATGTTCCTATTCATGAAGACCAGCCTGATGCCCTGGTAGACGAGATGCAAGAAGAGCTGGACAGAGCTGCCCCCGTTCACGACATTTTGGGACCTTCATCCGCACCACCTCCTATCACTCTTGAAGACATTCTCTGAGCCATCCATCAGCAAAATCAAATGGGTGCCGCACTTGAAAGAAGACAACAGGAGCAATATGACTATTTATGTGCATAGAACGCTTAGATTTTGAGTGGCCAGCGGAGCATGAACGAGAGGTTGGACGAGGCCCTGTCTGAACTAAACGCTTTAAGGTTGGGCGTCAACACTCTTGGCTACCATGACACTGATACCGAAGCCACGCCTACCAGGCGATCACGCACTAGGAGCAGAGGACGTGGACATCAATAGTTTTATTCTTAATTAGTTTGCTTTTGCTTTTCCTTTTTGTATTTGTATTTGTATTTCCCCGCTATTATACCACAACATTGAGGACAACGTCTGGTATAGTGTGGGAGAGGTACCT